CGACGCAGGACTGACTGACCCAGTGGCTGGTGAGGTCAAGCGGTGCCGCAGCGATTCATCATGGTTCTCTACTGAAGCATGCTTGACCTAGATTACAAGAAAGCAAGAAGAGACTTCACGCTTCTTTTTCCGCGGAGGTTGCCAAAAGATGCGTTGCGAAGCAGTGCATTGTCTGCCGGAGGGGCGAGCTGACGGCAAGCGATGCCTTGCTTCATAACCCCCAGGGCGTGGAGGGTGGGTGAAAAAAGAAACTAGTAACCGCGGGTTACAGGTGTTCAGTGCTTTCTGCCGTGTGCTTTGAACCAGTGCGGCGCGGAGTTCAAAGCAAGACTTCAAAGAAAACACTGTTGAACACCGAAAAGAACAAGGTCACAACAAGCGTTCTCTACTGAAGCATGCTTGACCTAGATTACAAGAAAGCAAGAAGAGACTTCACGCTTCTTTTTCCGCGGAGGTTGCCAAAAGATGCGTTGCGAAGCAGTGCATTGTCTGCCGGAGGGGCGAGCTGACGGCAAGCGATGCCTTGCTTCATAACCCCCACTTTAGCGCATCCGGCAACCTCGTCTAAACAGTAAGCCCCCACCGCGTCGAGGTAGAGGGTGCGGAAGAGAAGCGCTTCCGAGGAGTACCTGCAGGTCAGCTCCGCACTTTTCAGGCATTCGAGCACAGCACGGCCCGGCTCTCGCAATGTACGTCTTGTGCTGTCCTTTGTTGGCCAGGCTCGCTGTCGGCTCCCAGCCCCGCTCCTTAAACCCCCTCCCTAACCGCAGCCACTTCTTGCTCAAGGGAACATGAGGCGCAGGTGGGCTGAACAGGCCACCCAACGCCAAGCACAGCTTTCAGGCACCGCGTGCCCGCAGTCTGATGCATCGCCTATCATAGATTTGTGTTCACAAACAGCCGATCCCACACAGCCAGATTCTGCACTGCCCGCTACCCTTGAATATGCGGCCGCAGAGACGCATAGCATTTCTGTGCCCGAGGTGGCCCCTACACAACTAGACTCGCCTTGCATCTCTGTCTCCTCCACTGAGGACGTGGAGTTTGTGCCGCAAGCAGCACCCAACCACAGCGCTGTGCTACTTTCCTTAGCAGCCTCTAGCAAACATCCGCCGCACAACCCAGCATCACCACATACCTCGGTGCCCAAGCCTTTGTCGCATGGCCCCTTGCCCACAGTGGCTGACCTGGCAGTGCCACCACCATCAACATTGCACCGCTCGCCATCTCGGCTCACCTTCTACCCCGGGCCCTGCTCTTCTCCTTCGGCACCGCCCAACCCAGCTCCACTCAAACGCACCCGCACGGCTCCACCCCTCCGCCTGGGAGGCCTTGCTCTGCCAGCCCCTCCTGCTGCGCCTTTGAGCCTTACCAGCCCTAGCAAAGCACCGCAGCCCGCTACGCACCTTTCTGCCCTCACGCATTCGCCCCAGGCCCCGCCTTCTCGCCCAGCTCCGGCGCTTCGAGCCCCGTGCCCCCGCAAGGTCCGCATCACTCGGACCCGACTCTCGCTTCAGATCCGAGCACAGCACTGTGGTACACATTGGTCGCAGTTGCTCTTCCGCCTCGGTTCCGCATCTCTTCTTTTCCGCTCCCTCTCAGGTACAGCGGACGCAACGCAGCACATGCTCGCAGTTATTCGCAAGTTTGCGCTCAGCACCCTGGAACGTTACTTGCGCATAGCGCAGCAATTTCTTGGCTTTCTCGAGGCCTGCAACATCTCTTTCGACGGCGTCACGCTGGCAGCCGTGCTCGACTACCTCGCAGCAGCCCGTGCCTCGCGCAGCCAAGACCTTGAAATACACCGCATCAGTGCCACCTCTGCCATCAAAGCCCTGCGCTGGTTCCACAGGGAGCAACTCACCCCCGCCATGCAAAGCCCCGTTATTTCGGCCTACTCGTCGCGCAGCACCGCCAAAGACCGCAAAGAAGCTCTTCCGATACCCATGGCAATCATAGCTGCATGGGAGCAACGAGCGTGCGACCCCCACACACCGCTCAGCACCGTTCTCATCTTGGGCGCGGCTTTGTTGGCCATCCATGCCAGCCTCCGCTTCGGGGACATACAGCGCGTCGACTTTGCGTCGCTCTCGCTCACCACGGTCGCACTGCACGGCATTTGCTTTGCCACAAAAACTACATCTCAGGGCCAACCCTTCGCGGTTACCCTGGCAGGCATCACAGGCCGAGACACGCACTCTTGCTGGCCGCTGCATTGGTTGGCCGCACTGCAACGCGGCTGCTCGCCGTTTCGCGACAAAGACGGAGACCCAGACTTCCTCTGGTCAGCACCGCACCGGACCTCCGTACCCTTGTCGAACTTGCGCCAGCATCTTATTGCACCGCAATGCTCGCTCTGCGTTGGGCTGCCACCTTGCCTTGGCCGGGGGCCATTCCCGGCCTTACGGCTCGCGAAGCACTGCAACTCAAGCTGCGCCTCAGCAAAGACATCCGCTTGTCTCAGGGCCATCACAGAGACAGCGCCGCACTCTAAAGCCGCAACGATACCTTTGACAGCCTTTACGCACAGCGCCGCCTATCTCTCGCACTGAGCCGCGGCTGGCGCCCAGAGCGCAGCATTGCACGAGGGGGCCAAGCCCCTATACCGGAACCTCCTTTTGTCCTGCCCAGCAACGAACCACTCCCCGAAGTGCCCGCCTCAGCACTTCTGCATGGACCTTGGTCCTGCTTCGCGACTCGGCACGAGAGCCCAAGCAGCCCTACTATTGGCACAGCCTAATCGCGCCACGAGAGCACCGCTGTCACCTCCAGCATCGCCCGCCGCCTCTCCCTCTTTTGAGCCACCCTCAGAAAGCGAAGCGTGCTCAGATGAGGAAGCCCGCATGGTTGAGCGTGCTGCGCTGCAACGCCAAGACAGCACATCCTCACACGCATCCACATCTTCTCTGTCCTCGTCCGTACCAGAGCCTAACGCATCGCAAGATGACAAGCCCCTCTACGCATGCACAGGCCCTTGGGGTTGCTGGCACTGCCTACAGCCTCCCGACGCCTCGGGAACAGTACGCACCGCGTGCGGTTTAGACTTAGGCCTGGCCTCCTTCACCTCCGAGGAGCCACCGCCTCCCTTGTGCAGGCACATGGCGTGTGTCATCAGGCGCGCCGGACACCTGCGCTGATTGCGGAAAACAGCACTGCAGCCTGCGTACTCCCTTACCCAAACGCTCCGCAAGCACTGTTAATGCTCAGGTCTACGACGCAGCGTGCGCCAGCCCAGCTTGTGTTGCTCGCTTGGCACCTGCTTGTAAACGCCTCCGTGTCCGCAGCTGTTATTTCTGCTCAAACTCTAGCGTGAACCCCTAGGCCGGCTCCATGGCAGACGCTTCTGCCGGAGCATCCCTG